ATGAGATGAATATATGCAGGTGATAAAGTGATTTATGGTTGATGTGGTTACTTATTGATTACTTAGCACGTGAGATGTGATTTATTGTATAAAGAATGTAGCGTAATTAACAGAAGAGGTACTACATTAGATTAAGCCTAATACATTAGGTTAGAGAGACTATGTTAGATAATGATAACCGATTAGTAGTGACATGTTGTTTTCCGTTAGAAATAATTTCTTTTCAGTAGAACTGATGTGATGTTTGGGTCGACATTGTATGGAATCCTGGCCTTTACGTGAAGTGTGATTGTATGATGTATACCCAACTGGTGATCTGAGATGTTTACTTGGCAGAATCGTCAAAATATGGTTGTGCGCGCGGAGACATGAACTGAACTAGAACTTCAAGAATTAGTTAAAATTGTTTAGCCTTTAAGGTCTATGTGTGAAAGCTACCATAGTTGCTATTGTTAGGTAAAAAAGAATGTTGTATTATTGATGTAATTAATAAAGCTAATGTGATTAGCTTAAAGGGAGCGGGGGGTAATGTTATGATGCATGTTTGACTAGGGCAATGGGTGCGCATGATTGATGGTGCGGCCGTATATTGAACGAGTGAGTGTGTGACGCTGTACGCAAGAAAGTGACGTTTTAGGGGGAGTTCCGTTGTTGCCGGGGAAGAAGATCGAAGTTAGTCTTGTTCATGTGATGTTAGGGTTAGGTTGTCCAGTCTTGGTATCGTGTGTTCAGGCTGTCCAATGTTTATTTCTATAGTACAATAAATTGAGTTAGCAAACGGTGTCCTTCTGTCGAATCATTTGTGTGCGTTAGTGTCGCCGTGCTTCAAGATGAATTACTGAATAGCTGAACATATGAAATGGTAGTGGTATTGAAATATAGTATTGTACCCTCACTGCATAGCTGTGGTACTCATATAGAACCCAGTTATAACAGATGTTATTTGTTTACTTAATTTTAAAAGCGTATTAAACTATTTTTAATGCTTCTTCATTTGCTTTTATTCACTTGAACAATTTCAAATATTTAAACAAAAATAGGCCATTTTTTACAAGCTTTAATTTAACTCACTTCCTCGTCAGTCGACAGTCGTCAATCTGTTTAGATCGAAACGCCGGTGCAAAATTGCAGGCACCTCTACTTGGCCGATACGGTTCGTAGTTGGAACGTGGGTCAAGACATACAGACAATGCATCGTGACGTTAAATTTGACTTAATTGGATGCCTAATTAATTTTTTTATGAATTAATTAAAATTTTGAACTGATTAGTAGGCTTTTCTATCCAACCACAACTCTCCCGTCATTATGTTCAATAAGCGCGCAATGGTTTTTTGTTATGAAACTCTATTGTAAATAAAAACATGTTAGATCTAAGTACTAAAAAAAATTCATAAAAAAATTCATAAAAAACGTTTTAATAACAAGCTTTTATGTAATGATGCACTAAAAAGTAGAAAATAAATTATAGACTACTATTTAAATAACTATAAAGAAAAGCGTGGGTCACTTTAGTATCTATTGGATACCTTTACTAATGTTAAGGAAGACACCCACGCTTTTCTTTAAAGTTATTTAAATAGTAGTCTATAATTTATTTTCTACTTTTTAGTGCATTATTACATAAAAGCTTGTTATTAAAACGTTTTTTATGAATTTTTTTCAGTACTTTACATGTTTTATTTACAATAGAGTTACATGACTAAAAACCATTGCGCGCCTACTGAACATCACGTTCAGTAGGCGCGCAATGGTTTTTGAACGCAGCCATTGAAGCTATTGAAGGTGATGACGCGTGTGGTGTGGTTGGCTAGACATGCCTACTAATTCGGTCCAAATTTTTATTAATTCATAAAAAATTAATTAGGCATCCAATTAAGTCAAATTTAGTTTCAGATTGCATTGTCTTCATGTCTTGACCCACGTGCCAACTGTGAATCGTATCGGTCAAGTAGAACTGTCCGAATTTTCACTCCTGCGTTTCCGTCTAGACTGACGACAGAGGAAGTGAGTTAAATAAAAGCTTGTAAAAACGTTTGAATAACAAGCTTTTATGTATTAATGCACTAAGAAGAAGAAAATAAATTATAGACTACTGTTTAAATTACTATAAAGAAAAGCGTGGGTCTCTTCCTAAACATCAGTAAAGGTATCCAATAGATACTAAAGTGACTCACGCTTTTATTTATAGTAATTTAAATAGTATTCTATAATTAATTTTCTACTTTTTAGTACATTAGTACATAAAAGCTTGTTATTAAAACGTTTTTTTATTAAGGATACAAGATACCCATGTTTTCGATAAAAAAATAATTTTGCTCCCCAAAATTTTTATTTCTTAATTCGATACTAATACCTTTTATCTATCTAACCCGAACATTTTGGACTTCTACAGCTTACGGTTATCCGTTTATTGCCATGTGAAACATGGTACCCCCCGGCAAGTTTTCACACTACTACGTGGACAGCGGCTATCTTCGAGCGGGTATTACATCATGTTTTGCCCACGAGGCACCATAAACTTTACTGCAATCTAAGGGCCAAGCACTCGTGTACCCGTTGGTGTAGTGACCTTTTCTTTTGTTCTAAAAATAAGTGGGATAAACGGTGTTTTCTACCAAGCAAAATTTGATGTCATACTCCATATAAGGGCATGCGCGTAAAAATTATGAATGGGAAGAGATTCATTGATACGTTTGACCAATCATACAATAGTACAGTAAATAAAAAAAAATCTGTGTAAACTTGTGTAAGCTACAATAGACATTCTATTGACGTGAGTAGACCGGCTAACAAACAAAACTTAATCTGGTTTGATGATAGCTTTTCTGAGAATAACAATCGAATGATAGGATGTGTAAGACTTAATAGTCATTAATTTACTACCTGTTGTATGCATATTTTCTGCTTACACAGAAAAATCTATCTAAAACTTACAACATGAATCAACGCGTATTTTATTAGCCAAATGGTTCTTCCACACATAACAAGAAGTCATTTTCTGTTTGCTAAAAGAGGAATTGCACAGTGCCTTTTTCTGCCGTTCTTTTCACGTTTTCTCAACTTTGCATTTTTACTCAAAATTCAACATTCAAATCGCTAAGGCTTTGGAACCCTTAGTCTTACAGTACTGAAACATTCCACATGCTTTTAGCATTATACCATCTACAAAACTACGTTTGTACATTAAGTTTACTCCAATACTTTAGAAAATATTAATACTTATGTGGCACCACCCCCTAATATTTGTACATAAATTTACGTAAAAATTTGTAATACAAATTGAGTACAAGCTATCGCAATGAACAAACGAAGAAATGTATAGTATGTTTTCGTGAATCTAAATCTTTCATCCGCTTTACAAAATTGCTTATGGGAACAAAGTTCTAGAGGTTTGAAAAGGCCATATATTATTTTTGTCTATAGCCTAACAACTACTAACATATGTACTTATTAAATACCCAGAAATGTGTTAAATAAAAAAAAATTCTATCCGTGGTGTCTACCCTTAAATTTTGAATTGCTGCTTTATTTTAGTTTTAAAGTAAACAAAAGTGGTAGCATATTATGTTCAAGAAACATTTTCTAAAAAAAAAAACAAATAGTTTTAATTTTGTAGTTTTTGTTTTTAGTTGTAGTCATTGCCTGATAGCCAAGTTTAAAATAATGCATGTACGCCTTATGTTGCCAGTTATGAAACAGCGTTGAGATGAATACTTTTTTACGAGGAAAAATACCATTGCAAAAACGTAGTCTGGCCAATCTGTTCTGTTCAACATACAGCCTCCATCAGTGTCGCTACCTCAGTAAACTGTGTCACCACCTCAGTAATCTGTGTGACTACCTCAGTCAAGTGTGTCACCACCTCAGTCAACTGTGTGATTACCTCAGTCAACTGTGTGGCTACCTCAGTAAACTGTGTGATTACCTCAGTAAAATGTGTGATTACCTCAGTAAACTATGCCACTACCTTAGTAAACTGTATGATTACCTCAGTAAACTGTGTGATTACCTCAGTAAACTGTCTGATTACCTCAGTAAACTATGTGATTACCTCAGTAAACTGTGTGATTACCTCAGTAAAGTGTGTCATTACCTCAGTAAACTGTGTCATTACCTCAGTAAACTATGCCACTACCTTAGTAAACTAAATACCCTAAGCAACCCAATTAATCACAATCAATGTTTTTTTTTGTTATACCAGTTCGTTCTTACATTAAGTGCTTAAAATGCATATTCCTGTTTACGACTATCGTTTGCTGAAGTGTGCTAGACATTAAAACTTAGTTTTAGGGGTCTAGTTTAATAGTTTGTTGTGATGTGTACCCGAGATTTTATTGTGATGCAATTTAGGCGACCGATATACTGAATTAGCTGTCCAAAATACAAGACCAAAATATTATTATAACACATTGAGGTATAAACTGTTATCATATTTTTATTCTAAGCAAATATCAATAGTATTATTATGATAAGCAACTGACATGCATAATGTTAAGGAAATGTACACGGAAATCGCAGGTTAAAGGGGTACATGGAAATCGCAGGTTAAAACCTTGTGGTACAAGGAAATCGCAAGTTAAAAACTTGGGGCGCATGGCTGATTCTAATTTTTCAAGCTAGGGCCCTATGTAATGTAACGTGTGGGCCCGTCATGGACTGTAGGGACACGACTCTTCGGGGTGCGATCGTTTAGGAGCTCTTCCCTGGGCAATCGCGCCGCGGCTGGCAAGGAATTAGGGACCAGAGTCCCGTTCAGTTGGGTAGAGGACCTACAATGTACGGTCCTGACATGGCACTTCAATACCCTTACCCCTTCACCATTAACTTTAATGAAACTTAGATAAGCTGTTGTACGTAATATTTTGTTTTACTTGTTTACAGTTATCATGTTATCATTTTATCAAAAGTTCAACAATTAGTAAGCTTTATATACAATCAACAACTTCTATCACTGATGACGTCAATAATGATAAACCGTCGATAATAATTACACAAGTGTTGCACCATCAGTTCGTGAGAAGCTATCCCAGGACGAGACAACTGTCAGATTGTGTATGTTAGGTGCATAAACAGTACACGACCATGAAGTATTTATATACTTTTCTGCTGTGTTTTCTGATCGATGTTGATGCAGGTTAGTTCGCATGTGATTTTGTAATTTTTAAACAAATATCCTGTAAGCACACACACATAAACAATATTTATAGCAACACGCTTTTAAATGCACTGAAAATAAAGAAAATAAAACTAATTTACTTCTTTCTTTATTTAAAGCTTTAGGAGCTAAAATATGTAAATTATTTCATAAGCGACAAAACATTTATTAAGGATAGTACATTAGTTTTATTTTTGTATTTTCAGTCCATTTAAAAGCTTATTGCTATAAAAAAATTTTCATATTTATTTTATTCTCTACTTTATTGTAATACTACTTTATGATGTTCAAAACGCAAGCATTAGCTCTGCGATAACGTAAAGACTATTATCTGCCCGTGAAAAGCAACGGTTCGTGACCACAAATTGCATTAATCAACAACCTAAAAAAGCGAAGGATAGTTCTTAATCTTGCTACCTCACCTTAGTTTCAAATAGTTTGAAACTATATGTTGTGCCCAAAATAGCCTTTACTAGTTCGACCCGGCTTTACGATTGTACATATTCGACCTAAACTACAGCTCACCAGAATGTTAGAGTGATCGTGTCTAGCTAGTTATCACTCCTGCTGTTCTTTAATATTATAGTTATTTATCTAGTGATATGATTGTGTTATCTCCCCTTAGCTTTGAAACCGTTTCATTAATTTTTAATGACTAACTAAATACGTAGTTAAATAAAAAAAAATAGATAGACTCACATTGTCATCGAAGTGAAATGTGCAAAACCATGTTTCTTTTTCCAAATCAGGGAGGTGTAAAACGTCAAGATTTGCAAAGATGTCGATTTTCTTTTGCACGATTTCAATACTTTCTCTTTACTTCGTATACGAGAAAGTAAAAATAGATTAAAAATCATGTCTAGGCCTATATCACGAGTTTTCATCCACGTAGTGTTATATAAAAATATTCGGTTTATTAATTTACATAGTACAAAACTATTTATACGATCTTTATGGGCATTCCCATTTTTAAGAAGGGCAGTAAGTCATGGAAGTAGTGTGAACGTTTACGTATCTTTTAAACTACACCTTTTAAAAATATTTTTCTAAGAAATAGTGTGTGATAGTTACTGTAGAACAATTACTGCTGTATTAGACATTTTATTGCAAGCTTTTATTTAACTCACTGTCTCTGTCTGTCGTCAGTCGTCAGTCTGTCTAGATCGAAACGCCCGAGAGAAATTACGAGCACTTCTAACTGACAGATGCGTTTCGTAATTGCTACGTGGGTCAAGACGTGAAGACAATGCAACATGAAATTAAATTTAATTAATTGGTTTGCATAATTAATTTTTTATAAATTAATTAAAATTTTGACCAAATTAATAGGCAGTCTTACAAAAAATATTCCGCACTATTATATACGCGATATCAAGTTCATTAGGTGCGCAATGGTTTTTAGTCATGCAACTCTATTGTAAATTTAAAAAAAAATTAAAGTACTGAAACAAATTTAATAAAAAACGTTTTAATAACGAGCTTTTATGTACTAATGCACTAAAAAGTAGAAAATAAATTATACGATGCTATTTAAATAACTATGAAGAAAAGCGTAGGTCTCTTTCTAAATATTATTAAAATTATCCAATAGATACTAAAGTGACCCGCTTTTCTTTATAGTTACTTAATTAGCATTGTATAATTTTTTTTCTACTTTTTAGTGCATTAGTACATACAACATTGTTATTAAAACGTTTTTTATGAATTTTTTTGTTTACAAAACCACTATCAAAGAGCACGAAAAAAATTATTTATGAAAACAAAAATATTCATTGTTTTTTTTTGTGTCGAAAATGGGCCCCCCTAAACTTACTGCACCCCACCCCCCCCCCCCCCCCCTCGTATTGCGGGGTCTGGTGGCATGGTAGTTCCGCCCCTGATGGAAATGTTACGTTACGTTACACTATGGGGTAGTAGTGTATAAAAAGAAATCTTGACATTACTCACTCTTTATAATTTTAACAACGTCATTGCCCCCAGTTTAATTAACACTTGCCAATTAAATTTCCTTCCAGGATATAAACCCGACCAAAAAACTGCATTAGGACATTACCTACTGTCTGACAGTTACACATCGGTTAGGGTAACGGAAAGGGTTAGAGTTATGGAGTTATGGTAAGAATAAAGATAGGGGCAAGGGTAATGGTAAGAGTAAAGGCTAAGTTCAGGGTCTGGGTTAGGTTAATGGTCAGGGTCAAGATAATGGTAACGGTGACGGGTAAGGCAACGGTATATATATATATATATATATATATATATGTATATCTATATATCATCTATATCTATATATCATATATATCTTATATATATATCATATATATATATATATATATATATATATATATATATATATATATATATATATATATATATATATATATATATATATATATAAACTAGCGTACCCGTCCCACAAAATATATAAGAAGGGTTTATTCCATGCGTCACCAATCCTATACTCTTAGACGCGTGACCTTGTTTTCTAAAAGTGAGTTATTTAAATGTAAACAATGCCTGCGCTTGGATCATAAATGTCGCGAAACGGGTTTACCTACACTACCGCATGAAAACCTTGAGTGTACATTAATAACTCACCGAAATAATAAGGTAATACACACTTTGATGACTGCCCATGCGTCAGGGACGTAGAGGGGCGCTCTCAGGACCCCCCCCCCCCATTACACTACCGCATAGACGCCTTAAAACTAACAGGCGCCATCGTGCCATATCGCATCCTATTAACAACGAGAAAAATGGCCCGTTGAGGAAGGGTACAACGGGCGCTAGGCTGATAGTGCTGTCTCTTTTCTCTAAACTAAAACCAACCCACCCCCCCCCACACACCACCCCCACCCCACCCCACCCCCCCACACACCACCCCCCACCCCCCACCACACACCACCCCCAACCCAACCCCTCAACCCCACACACCACCCCCACCCCCCACCACACACCACCCCCACCCCTCACCCCCACACACCACCCCCTCCACACACCGCCCCCCACCCCCCACCCCCCCCCCAAAAAAAAACATGTCTACCGTCCCATTCAACGAAATATAATTATATACTTTTTCCAGTGTCCGCCCCCTCCCAGAAAATTCTACCCCCGCCCCCGAAAATTTCAAGTACCCCCACCCCTCTCCGGGGAGGAAAAAGTCTGAAAGAAACACTGAAACCAACCCACCCCCCCACACACCACCCCCCACCCCCCACCCCCCACACACCACCACCCCCACACACCACCCCCCACCCCCACCCCCCCACACACACCACCCCCCCCCCACCCCTCCACCACCCCCCACCCCAAAAAAAAAACATGTCTACCGTCCCATTCAACGAAATATAATTATATACTTTTTCCAGTGTCCGCCCCCTCCCAGAAAATTCTACCCCCCGCCCCCGAAAATTTCAAGTACCCCCACCCCTCTCCGGGGAGGAAAAAGTCTGAAAGAAACACTGAAACCAACCCACACACCACACACCACCCCCACCCCCCACCCCACACACCACCCCAACCCCCCCCACCCCCCCCCCCCCCACACCCACCCCTCCACCCCCCCCCCCCCCCCCCCCCCCCAAAAAAAAAACATGTCTACCGTCCCATTGCAAGAAAACCACTTTTTAGATTAGACACATTAATTAGGCGGTAATTTTATTATAGAGTATCGATGAGGAAATTTCTTTTGAGTTGTGGAGGGGGGGGGGGGGGGCTCAGACGTTCTTACGCGGGGGGTGGGGCTTCGCCCCTACCCGAAGAATTGTATGCAAGAAACTCTTCACGCAAACCATTTAGATTAGACAACATTTCCTTTTTTTCAATGTTTACGCGATAATCAATGACGTCATTTTACTGTGTGCACTCTCTGGTTTGAGATTATGTTCTACTCTACGCTAAATGTGTCGACGTCATATTTCGTTTTTCGAATTACTGTGCATGTTTTTATTTTGCTTGTGTTTTCTCTAGAGCGTTCTTGTCAGACAAAGCGTTCTTGTCAGACAAAGCGTTCTTGTCAGACACAGAGCGTTCTTGTCAGATAGACAGACAGCGAAACTATTATTATAGACGAGAAAAATGGCCCGTTGAGGAAGGATACACCGGGCGCTAGGCTGATAGTGCTGTCTCTTTTCTCTAAACTAAAACCACCCCCCCACCCCCACACCCCCCCACCCACCCCCACACACACCACCCCCCCACCCCCCACCCCCACACACACCACCCCCCACCCCCCACACACCCCACCCCCCACCCACCCACACACCCCCCCCCCACCCCCCACCCCCACACACACCACCCCCCACCCCCACACACCCCACCCCCCACCCACCCACACCCCCCCCCACACCCCCACCCCCCCCCCCCCTCTAAAAAACATGTCTACCGTCCCATTCAACGAAATATAATTATTTACTTTTTCCAGTGTCCGCCCCCTCCCCGAAAATTCTACCCCCGCCCCCGAAAATTTCAAGTACCCTCACCCCTCTCCGTGGAGGAAAAAGTCTGAAAGAAACACTGGTGTCGCGCATAGCCACTACGCGAAGAATTGCATTAAAGAAATTGCAAGAAAACCACTTTTTAGATGAGACACATTAATTAGGCGGTAATTTTATTATAGAGTATCGATGAGGAAATTTCTTTTGAGTTGGGGAGAGGGGGGGGGGGGGGGGGGGGGGCTCAGACGTTCTTACGCGGGGGTGGGGCTTCGCCCCTACCCGAAGAATTGTATGAAAGAAACTTCACGCAAACCACTTAGATTAGACCAAATTAGACCAAATCAATGACGTCATATCAATGTGTGCACTATCCGGCTTGAGATTATTTTCTACTCTGTGCGCTAAATGTGTCGACGTCATACTTCGTTTTTCGAAATACTATGCATGTTTTTATTTTCCTTGTGTTTTCTCTAGAGCGTTCTTGTCAGATAGATAGATAGACAGACAGCGAAACTATTAGTATTAATGATGCAGATTGCGTCATTCGCTAAAGTGACACAAATGAACTGGATTTTTTTTCAACACAAAAACATATTATTTAACGTGTTTTAAACATCAGTGTTACTGACGCAATATGTTAGCGTTACTAATGGTCTATCATTAGATGCTCCATCTTGATTTCTGATTGGATTGTCTAAAAATAGATGCTAATTACATCGTTCGCAAAGTGACGAAACTGTTTGGATTTTTTTACGGAAAAAAAGAAACACCCCCGTTAATAATCTAACATTGGGTAAGTTTTCTGATTATCAAAATAAAACGTATTATATGGCCCTCGGCAGCCCATGTGAGCCTTTGGGGGCCGAAACTGACATTTTTGTTTGCAGCTAAATCGCATCCTACTACGGCGCCGGCGGATACGTCTGATTCAATTTAGTGAGCGTTTGTAACGCTCCATCCTATCCATTGTCTATCACACTGTTTAGAACAAACGTAGTCACCATAGCGCTTACGGGAAAGACCAGGGCGCCAAATCGCATCCTGCCGGGGGACGCCCATGCAAAATTAAATCCCCCTCCCACCACCACCCACCACTACCCCATCTCCCACCCCAGAAACCTTCTCGGGAGTATTCATCAATTCCCTAAAGTTTTATGGCACCCGGATAAACTGTGTCGAACCGCAATCGTCTTTTACTTTTATATACCGTATATAGAGAAAAATCCCACCATCCCTTGGCGCCGCCCTTGCGAAATTAAAAAACATTTTCTACAGAAACCTCACATGAAGTGTTCTAATTAACTCCCCAAAGTTTGATGGCGATCGGAGAAACGATGTCAAACCAAAATCGACTTTTATTTGTATATACCGTTTATAGAGAAAAATCGCACCCTCCCGTGGCGCCGCCCTTGTGAAATTTAAAATGAATTTTTTACAGAATTCTTCCCCACAGTGTTCTAATGAACTGATCAAAGTTTGATGGCGATCGGATAAACGCCATCAAACCAAAATAGTTTCTTATTTTTATATACCGCATATAAAGAGAAAAGCAAATCGCGCCCTGCCGTGGTGTCACCCCTTCGAATTTAGATTTTTTTTTCACATAAACCTCCCCAATAAAATTCTCTACGATTTCCCAAAGTTTCAAGGCGATTTGATGAGAGGTGTAGTAATACATTAAAGACAAACAAACAAATAGACACACACATACATTGTATGTACATATATATAGATTTGTATGTTTATTTGCATATATATATATATATATATATATATATATATATATATATATATATATATATATATATATATATATATATATATAAACAGGTGACAGTTTACAGATCGATGCAATGCCCACCTCGGTAGTGATTGGACTAACAACAACGCTTGAAGTCAAATGTCACACTTTTAATAACAACAGCTCCCAGATGGAGAGTCTGATGTCTTTGATCATCACAAGGTCAGGTCACGGTCCAGATAAAGAGTTGGCCTCCATTAACGCTTTCAGCCCAGAAGGTCACGTGGTGGACACGTCCAATGAAACGCTGACAGCTTCCGGTAAGATCGACAACCTGGGAGAATCTTACCTGCGTCTGGTGTGGAGATTTCCAGACGTCAACAAGCGCGGACTTTACGCGTGTGAGGCTCACGGTGTGAGCCACACTGGACATCCGGTGTCCCTGACCTCAACTATTTCGGTTACCAATTCGTATCCCGAAACTGATGAACTGGTCGATCTAATTAAAAATCTGACGTTAGAGAGTGAATATGATAAAGAACGGTGTCCCTCAAACTTAAAATCAAATCAGGAATTGATAAAGAATTATATGTTCACAATCTCCCCTCCGTATAATGGTCGTCATTACTTACTATCCAGCAGGCTCTACACGTACCAGGTAGAATCAGCTGAAGCCATGTGTGAGTTATTAGGTGGTTACCTTGTCGAGATCGATTCAGCTGAAGAGCATCAATTTTTGATCAATTTTTTGAATGACGAATCAAAAAAATTGAATTTCATTGTAACAATGACGGGATTATCAGACGAGGAACAGGAGATTGTTTGGGTAAACCGACATAGCAAAACTGTGGCTAGGTATACAAATTGGCTTGCAAATAAACCCAATGGTGGAAGAAGTGAGAACTGTGTGGTGTTGTACCAGCCATCTTGGTTAATGACTGATGATCCGTGTTCTCTCACAAGAAGCGATTTCGCTTTAAAGCTGACTTATCTATGCGAGGTGCCGAACTAATATACATTAATTAAATAGAAATGAAAAACAGCTAGACTGATACAGGTTATATGTTAAACATTATATAATTTTATACGTTATCTAATTTTTATTTCTGGCGGAAAAAGATTAATTTAGTCATGAAAGTGATAGGTAGTAAATGTAATATTTTTCTCTAATACTTTCCAAAGTTTCGTTCAAGATGGTTTATGCATTTCAGTGCATTTAATGTATGATGAGTTGAAAGTGTTGAAGTAAAATTTAAAAATATAATTTCATTTGACTTTCATAAAAATAAAAAAAAATAGAATTTTTAAAAACTAAATATTTACTTTATTGTTTTAAAAAGTATCATTGTCTTGAAACTTTCTGTGTATTTTGTATAGTCATTTTTTTATTGACATAGAATAGTACATCTGTTTTATTCACAATAAACCTATTTCTGAATTGAGATACCATGTGAAAATCTTTGACAATTTAAATCCGCTTTTTTATATATCCTGATTTGCCTAATGGTCGGCGGAAATGGGATCGGTGCTAAATTTGTGCCTATATGAGAAAGATGAAGATTAGTTGAAGGAACTTAACGTGTTACTCTAAATGACTACGGGCCGCATAAAGTCTCCGTAGTTCTATGTCTAAAGTTATTATTTGGGCTGCAACTCAACTTGAAAGTGTCTCCCACAAGTGAAATTTCCGAGGTTATTCTGACGTCATTTCCTTTGTTTGCTTTGTGGTTTTCGAAAAGTGTGCTGAATGTCATCCACATCTTATAGCTGATTCCAGAATGTCTACTGAATGCCATTACTATTTGACTAGCGGAGGTCTCTGTTATGTTGACGATTAGAGATTGGACTGGGAGAATTTTAAGCAGGAAATTGCAGGTTAAATACTTGGGTTACAAGGAAATCACAGGTTAAAAACTTGTGGTACAAGGAAATCACAGGTCAAAAACTTGTGGTACAAGGAAATCGCACGTTAAAAACTTGTGGTACAAGGAAATCGCACGTTAAAAACTTGTGGTACAAGGAAATCGCAAGTTAAAAACTTGCGGCGTAGGGCTCATTCTAATTTTTCCAGCTAGGGACCTCTGTGATGTAAAGTGTGGGTCCATCATGGATTCTAGGGACAAGACTCTTCAAGGTGTGATCGTGGCAGAGCTCTCCCCTGGGCAATCGCGCCGCGGCTGGCAAGGAATTAGGGACCAGAGTCACGTTCAGTGAGCTAAGGGCCCACAATGTACGGTCGTGACAATGCACTTTAATACACCAACTCCCCCAATCACAATTGACTTTAATAAACCTTAGATAAGCTCGTATCCGTAATATTTTATCTTTATTGTGTTTACTGTTATCAATTTATCATTTTATCATAAGTTCAACAATTTGTAGGCTTTAGATACAATCAACAACTCCTATCACTGATGACGTCAATAATGATAAATCGTCGATAATAATTACACGAGTGTTGCAGCATCAGTTCGTGAGAAGCTATCCCAGGACGATACAACTGTCAGATTGTGTGTGTTAAAGCATAAACAGTATACAACCATGAAATATTTGTATACTTTTCTGCTGTTATTACTATGCGCTGTTGGTACAGGTTAGTTCATATGTAATCTATGAAAAACTATAATTACACATACAATAGGGGGTGGGTGGCTGTAAGGTAGGGCTCACGGCGGCTAACCCGAAAGTCTCGAGTTTGAATCACGGGCTGGAGTGTATAGGACGTCACTGATTCTACCAAGTTCCGATGTGTACTTTGCCCATTTTAGGTAAACCAAGGCGGCTGGGCTTAGGGCTGACACCTTAGAGGCTACACAAAATAATTAATGCAGATTCCATTTCTACCGTACCAATGTTTTACTCGATTGTTGAGCGTGCCTTTACAAAAAAAAAAAAAAATAGAACTAAATGTAGCAATTCATTACCACGTTTAAACGCACAAAGGTTTTAACGAAATAGTTATCAATTATTTTGTGAAATTTTGATTAGTGGTACAAATTACGTGATGCTTTGAATTATAAAATGTTTAAATTTACATTTTATTGAACCTTTTTATCGTTTCTACAATTAACATTTTGATTTGTTCCGGATAAGTTATATATATATATATATATATATATATATATATATATATATATATATTTATAACAGGTTACGGTTTACAGATTGAAGCAACGCCAACTACAATGCTTATTGGACTAACAACAACTTTGGAGGTGAAATGTCACACTTTTATCAACAGCAGCACCCAGATGGAGAGCCTGATTTCCCTGATCATAACTAGGTCAGGCCACGGCCCTAGTAAAGAGCTGGCGTCCATTAACGTTTTTAGTCCAGGCAGTCACGTGGTTGACGTATCCAATGAAACGCTGACAGGTTCCGGTAATATCGACAACCTGGGAGAATCTTACCTGCGTCTGGTGTGGAGATTTCCAGACGTCAACAAGCGCGGTCTTTACGCTTGTGAGGCTCACGGTGTGAGCCACACTGGACATCCGGTGACCCTGACCTCAACTATTTCAGTTAACTCTTCTATCCCTACAACGGGTCAACTGGTCAATGAAATTCAGAACCTTACGCTAGAGATCGATACGTTGAAAACAAACCTGGATTTAATACAGACGGACATGTTCAGTATATCTCCGCCGTTTAACGGACATCATTACTTACTGTCAAACAGGCTTTACACATTCAAAGTAGAATCAGCTGAAGCTATGTGTGAGTTGTTTGGTGGTTACCTGGTCGAGATCGACTCTAGAGACGAGCATCAATTTTTGATAAATTTTTTGACAAACGAAAAAAACAAGTTGAATTTCAGTATTGCAATGACCGGGTTATCAGATGAGCTACAGGAGAAAGTTTGGGTAAATCGACACAGCAAGACCGTGGCAAATTACACACATTGGTATTCGAGTGAACCGAACGGTGGGCGAAGTCAAAATTGTGTTGTATTATATTCCCCAACATGGCTAATGGTTGATGATCCGTGTTCTCATACCATGAGCGATTTTTCTTTTAAGCTGACTTATCTTTGCGAGGTGCCAGACCAAAAGCCAGTTTAATAAACAATACAAACAACTTTACTGATAAAAAAAATCAAACCATAAAATCTTTGTAACTAATTGTGTCGTGCTTATATTCGTTATAATTATTCAATTTCTTAAATTTCGGTTAGAAAAATAATAATTTTAACGAATGCTTCAGTCATAAATCTAGAAACATTTCAAAATCCTTAACTAATACACTGCATTTGTTTCTTAAAGGGCGATTTTAACTTTTTTTCTCTTTTAAGGAGTTGTGAGTTAAAAGTGTTCAAGTACAATTTTGAAAATTAAAATTGCAAATGGAAATTAGCTTACTTTGATAAATAAAGGGTTTTAAAAGCAAACGTTTTTTGTTCAATGATTTATCTATATATATAATTCTCCTCTGCGAGCCGTTAGAAAACAAGCTGCAAGCGCCTCCTTACAGTCCCCTCTCTTTCTCTCTATCACTACCACCCTACCCCACCCCCACATGGTCTGCTGAGCTGTGGTCACGTTAATGTTTATAAACCGTACAGCCGGGTTTAGTGACGGCTACTAGGGGCAGATAATTTAGTTTGAACCGATTTTAAACTTACAGGAGGTAACTAAGAGGAGGCTGCTTTCACGGGGGGGGGGGGGTGTAGGGTCGGGGTTAGGGGAAAGGAGGGGGGGTTAGTGTTTTAAAGCAAATAATTTCAGTGGCAGCATTGGTACTGTCGAATTCACAAATTATGAATTACTGAAAAGTAGAAAATAAATCAACTAAATAGCGGCGTATGATACGCCGCGGGTCGGCTCGTAATAAATAATCATCTTAAAACTTTCTGTGTAAAAAATTTTTTACAAGCTTTTATTTAGTTTGCAACGCCCGTTTGTTTATTTTTATTTTTCTTAGTTTTTTGTTTGTTGTATGTGGGTTTTTGGCAAATCTTAATTTTGACCAACTTCTAATGCAGCGATTTCGTTGATAAAACAACATGGCGGCTGCTTGTTTCTGGGCTTCGCTTCAAGATAAAAAAAAATCTAGAATTCCAAATAACAACAAATATAATTTTAAAAAATGTCAACTCTATTTTCTTATTATGATTGGGAACGGTTCGTTGCCCGAAAGTCGATTAATCGGAATATGCGGACACTGTATTTTAGGGGAATCTACTGGTCAATAATAAAAGGGGAGATAACAAGATTAAATGCTAGAGATCGCGAGATCACCTCCCATAGAGGGTCAACTGTTGTCACGGTTGCCTACGAAGAAGAGGCAGAGAACTGTCTTTTAGAGTAGTAATTGGGTTTTAAGACACATATTTTTAGTCGAAGCCTATTTAGATCTAGATTTGGTCGCTAAAATATGTAAAATATCTCATGAGCGATCAAAGCATTTATGAAAGAAAGCAAACTACTTTTTAAAATTTCGTTTAAAAGCTTGCTGTTATAAATTTTGTTATATTTGTTTTATTAGTTTTACTAACTTAATAACAATCATTGTAATATTAATCTTGTTAGTGAATTGAGATAAAATATGTAAAGAAATACGCCAATTTTGGTATCCTGATTTGCCAAATTTTGTGCGGAAATTGAAACTGAACTATTAAACTAGTACCGACTCGAATAAGTCGAAACGGCGAGAGACATTGACGGAGCTGGACGCGTTACTTGTGCAGGGGTACGGGTAGCCAAATTATATCTCCGTAACTTTAAGTCTAAAGTTTTTGTTGTCAGCTATTTTGAAGTGGAGCCAAACAAACGTTAGAGTTATTTGTTTATTTAAACGTATTCAATAAACATAACCTAAATAGACACCAGGACTAGCACTGTTAGCTTGGCATACTAAAAGTTAAATAGAGCAAACAAGGAAAGATAAAATAAATTGTTTATTGACTTATCTTATTTTTTTAACTGTACATTTACTTTATTCAAAGTAAAAAATAACATATATTTTGATACTAATTGTAATTTAAAAAAAAAATGATAGAAAATTGTTTTATTATCAAGTAAATCGAGGATTTCTTTTTGGAAATAGTATTCCTTATTATTGCTTAAACGTGACAAACTTTCATTGTAAGGAATTATTAAATTTCATTTTAGTTTGTAAAAATGACGAATACCCAAGTGAATAAGGTTGTTAATCGTGCTATTCATACACAATTATAATGCATTAATTAGCCAATTTGTATCCACCCAACCCCTGCATTAATTTAACATTGATTGGCATCATAGACAAAAAGCAGGAGAACCACTGGGTAAACAGAAAAAATAAACAACTCTTGGAAATAGCTAAAGCTGTGGCTGGAACATCTAATTATACTTAAAATAATATATATATATATATATATATATATATATATATATATATATATATATATATATATATAAATGTATATATAATATTGTTGAAATGACATTTTAAAATGTGTTTTAAAACATTAACTGTTATTATACTAGTAGTGCATTTTTATTATTTTCGATAACAAAATAAAAGCATATACATTTGGATATAATAACATACAGTTCTTGCAATGTTATGCCGTCCAATTTGTTTATAATGTCATACATCAGTTTCTATTTGCACACGATATGTTTCATTTAACGTAATCTATGACCTGAATCGCTTTGAAGTCACAGATAGAGAACGAACTGTAATCTATTGAACCAGTTTGATTATCTTTCATGCGAATTATTGTTTCAGTTTCTATATTGCTATATATCTAATAGGTATTGAATAAAGTATGAATGTGAAACAGCTAGGACTAAATATACAGCTTTGGTCATTTAAAGTATCGTAGATACAACAATAAATAAATTCGATTTTATTATAAGTGTTATCTTTAAAAAAAGATTAACATCTGTATCTTTTAACCGATTATCATTATCAAACTTCCCTACGGTAGACAATACTATTTAGCAGATGGAAGAATAAGAGAAGACATATCAACTTGTTATGTGAAATTAGAAACTTGTAACATCTAATTGTTCACGTTCATCAACGCAAGAAATGCGGCGACAGTTTCTCATTTTACTCGGAGTTGTTACAGTGGGTAAGTTGTGTTACGTTATCTCAAATTACAATTTATTTGAGTAGCCTACAAACCTTATAAGTTAATATTATACTTAAGTTAATTCTAAAAGGAGGAAACTCATGATAAAAAAAGTAATATTAATTTTAATACGATTTGTCTTTTCCCCGTTGATCTTACATTAATTAAGTAAACACCTTGTACGATATGGTTCTACTTGCGCTGTGTTTATAGAATTAGAAGGCATAAATCATCAAACTGTGTTGTAAGAAAAACACATTACGCTTTATGTCGTTTAATTCCTATTTTTTATGGCGTCATTGTTATACTGGTTCCCCATGTTACGGTTATGTTGCAGTGCAGTGAGAGGGTTTACTTATTTGATCCAGCCAGCTACCATTTCACTCGTCTCCAATACCAGGGAGAGAGTATTACACCTTGATAAACACTAGGTTATGTCACATTCAAACGAATCCACGACGCTCAGAGATAAGAGGACCAAGTAATTCGTATATGAATCTTTTAATCTCGTATCTACAACAACACACGTCCTTCCACACCGACGATAAGGATTCAACTGCTCACACATAAACTCATAGCAACTAACTCTCTAACCTAAAACGTCACTATCTTTCGTACCGCGTCATCATACCCATGTGTTCACTATGTTCTTCGCACCAACCTGCACTCAATTCAATACCTACTAAACCATACATCATAACATTACCCCCCTCCCCATTCAAGCTAATCTCATTAGCTTCAAACAATTCCATAAATTCAACATATGTCTACCAACATATCATGTTCAACATGATTTTAACCTAACAATATCAACTAGGTGCTATACATGAACATTCATTCTATTTTCCAATCTTAATTATTACATTGCATTGTAATTTTACTCCCATACAATTTCATTTTAATCACTAGCATTCAACAAATATTTTCTCTTGAAATGTCTCCCTCAGATAAGTATTCTTGGGTTTTCACACACTTCTCATCATCATCATACTCAGCAATGTCCATCTGTTGACACCAGTAGCTATAAAAGAAAAATTATACCCAACATCCCATTAGTTTAGACCAATACAACTTGTGATGGCGAACAGAGCCCCCAGTGCCACCATTTAGTGAACATCTGTGGTTGTTCTCATCTTTACATACAATATCACTAATACAGCTTAATCAACATGGCACTGGATCCCCCAGCTCCTGTAATAAAGTCCTATTAACACATGATATAACCATATCAACCCAGCATAAAGACTTCTCAACCTAGAAAAATAATCAATTCAGTAAATCATTATAGTACAACAAATATTTCCACATCATGGATCAGGTAACCTTAAGATTCTCATCAACCTAGAGAAGTAAGCATATCACATCAACACATATTATATCAGAAGCAATCAAACCCCATCAAAGTGACTATAGACATCATTAGTTCATAACATTAGTGTAATCATCATGCAACAACAAAAAGAACTTACCATATCATTATGTATCATTATCATAATAACCTTTATGTCAAAGCTTCATCAACCCACATCGTCATATATTAATCAACCAAAACTCAGAGTACTATCAATCAAGCACATCAACATGTCTACATGTATATATATCATATCTTACACTACAGTCTTTTCTTTGACAGTTACCTCAGTAAAAAAAAATTCAATCACTAGCATCAGGCAAATTTGCTCTAAATATGTCAGCCCAAACACAATTTGGATCATTAATCTTTATAGTCTCAGTTCCATCAGCAGAGGTCACTAGAGCACACTGTAAATCATTCAATTCCTCATCTCCATCTCTAGCCATAAAACATTGTGCCTTATTTTGTTCTGTATCATCTTTCTTACACCACTTTCTGTTTCTATTTCTATTCTGATTCCTATCTCCTATATTTACCTTAGTACTATCTACCTTGTCAGAGCCATTATACTTTATTAAACTGGTCAATTCCTGTACTTTACTAACAAGTTTTCCTATTTCCTTTTCAAGAATGCTGATTTTGTTTTCTAAGTTCTGGACCTTACTACTATTATTGTCATCTCTCACCCCAGGAACATTTCCTATAATCAAGTCATACGGGCCTTTCTTGAAAACCACAGCATCTACATATCCGGTAATCTCTTTTGATCTGACAAAAACTCTAGCCACAGGCCAACTATAGCTTCTACCTCCAAACACATTTACACGCTTCCTTTTATTAGTGTACTGATGGGATTTCACAAATTTATCTCTAACAGCAATAATGGAGGCACCAGTATCCCTAATTGTCACTGTATTCATCCTATTCACTGAAGCCCTGAAATTGTTCATCCCCTGAC